ATGCTTGACTGTAGGCAAGACACACTTGTCTTTGTACTCCTTACCTGGTTGCCGCCACACACGCTTGACACCATCTGAACCGAATAAGTTTATCTTGGTCTCATCAGGCCACAGGACATGGTTCCAGTAATCCATGTCCTTAGTCTGCTTGTCTTCAGCAAACTGCGGGCTTTCTTCTGCATCATCTTTAGAAGAGGCTTCCTTCTGGGACGACAGCCATGTAGACCAATTTGATGCAGTGTGCAGCATATGGTCTGAGCACTGACAGGCTGACCCCCCACCCCTTCAACCTCTGCAGCAATGCTGGCAGCGCGCATACGTCTATTTCCCAAAGACAACCTCTGGATATGACGCTGAGCACGTGCACTCAACTTCTTTGGTCGACCATGGCAAGGCCTGTTCTGAGTGGAACCTGTCCTGTTAAACCGCTGTATGGTCTTGGCCACTGGGCTGCAGCTCAGTTTCAGGGTCTTGGCAATCTTCTTATAGCCTAGGCCATCTTTATGTAGAGCAACAATTCTTTTTTTCAGATCCTCATAGAGTTCTTTGCCATGAGGTGCCATGTTGAACTTCCAGTGACCAGTGTGAGAGCGATAACACCAAATTTAACACACCTGCTCCCCATTCATACCTGAGACCTTGTAACCCTAACGAGTCACGTGACATCGGGGAGGGAAAATGGCTAATTGGGCCCAATTAGGACATTTTTACTTAAGGGTGTACTCACTTTTGTTCCCAGCGGTTTAGACATTAATGCCTGTGTGAGTTATTTTGAGGGGACAGCAAATGTACACTGATATACAAGCTGTACACTCACTACTTTACATTGTAGCAAAGTGTCATTTCTTCTGTGTTGATTCATGAAATTATATAATAAAATATTTTCAAAAATGTGAGGGGTGTACTCACTTCTGTGAGATACTGTATATTCAATAGGCTACAGGTCAGGGCTTATAGAAAGCCACTTCAGAATAGTCCAGTGTTTTTTGTTCTTGGCCATTATTGTGTATAGTGTTTTGGGCCACTATCCTGTTGGGAAGACCCATGACCTGTGGCGGAAACAGAGCTTTTTGACAGTGGGCAGTATGTTTTGATCAAGAATTGCTTGATAGTTTTGAGATTTAATTGTGCCTTTCACAGATTCAAGGCACCTGCTGTCTGATGCAGCAAAGCAGCCCCAAAACAAAACTGAACCTCCGACATGTTTTTCCAGTAGGTATGGTGTTTTGATATTTATTTATTTGAAAGCTTCATTTTTTCATCTGTGAACATAGAGGTTTTGTGAATTGCCAAAAAAACAAAAACTATTTTGTCTCAACTGTTCAACTGACATTCTGCCAGAAGCATTGTGACTTGTCTATGCATTTTAGCAAATTTCCCTCTGCCTTTTTTTATTTTTCTTTCAACACTGGATTCCTACTGGGTCTTTTTCCTTTAAACCGACTGTTGCTGAAAGAGCAACAGATGGTGCAATCAGACACTGATGTACCTTGACCTTGAAGTTCACTTTGCATCTCTTTGGAAGTTTTCCTTGGCCGTTTGTCTACCATTTGCACTATCCATCTATTCAATCTGGGGTCGATATTCCTCTTGTGGTTATATCCAGGAAGGTTGGCTACACTCCCATGGAACATAAACTTTTTTAATATTTAAAACCACTTTTCACCGGAACCTCAAGCTACTTGAGTCTTATAGTCTTTACCTTTTGACATGTTGGTCTGTTATTTCCTTTTTGATCTCCTTAGACAACTCTCCCATTTGCTTTTTCTGGTCCATGTTTACTGTGGTGGACACAATGATATCAAACAGCAGAGTGACTACTTCACTCCATTTAAATAGGCTGACTGACATGTGAGATTATACTTTGTGATGCATATTACAGCAAACAGAAATATTGTGATCTAATTTGTAATCTTTTCTAATGGGGGTACCAACAAATCCTATCTAAGCCATTTTAGAATATATTTTTACTAGGGATGCACAGATACCGGTTTTTCCCTACTGAGTACCAATATTTTTTTCGGTACTCCCCGATACTGAATACTGAGCTGAAAGTCCCATTAAGGAAGCTGGGCGTTCTGTAATGACTCGCTGCCGTTCGTTGTGTAATGACTCACCGCCCGGCTTCCTGATTAGCCGGGCAGCGTGGTGACGAAGCATGGAGCCAGTTTTCTGGGCAATCAGGAAGCCGGGGAGGTGGGAGAGGCGGGTAATGTCCCGCTGCCTGGCTTCCTGATTGACCAGCTTCCCATCCAGTCAGGAAGCCGGGGGGGTGAGTCATTGCCTGCTCCCCGGCTTCCTGAATGGATGGGAAGCTGGCTCCATGCTCCCTGGTGACGAGGGAGCATGGAGCCGGCTTCCCGGCCAATCAGAAAGCTGGGTAGCGTGCGATGACTCGCCACCCGGCTTCCTGATACTGGAAATTCTGGTGTCATTATAGGCATCGGGAGCATTTGGGCAAGTACGAGTACTCGTCCAAATGCTCTATCGGCACCGATACTAGTTTTTGTAACGGTGCATCCCTAATTTGTACAGTTTTGGACAAAAGGCAATAACTTATTTTCGCACTTGACTGACATATCAAAGGCATATGTCTAGAGGAATTAATCATTGTTTCATTGAGCTGTAAGGGTACTGTCAAATCAATCAAATTTTATAGACAAATGGAACCTGGGCATGGCTTTTTTTTTTTTAAATATGAATATGCATTATTGACCAATGCAAGAAAGTCTTGAGACATTAATGAAAGCTGTGTGAAACATCTATGAACATAGTTTTTCTCTGCTGTAACTGCATCATGATGACAATACATAAACTACATTTTCAATTTTATATTTCCTCCTTCATGATTTATGGTCCCCTGTGCTGGACACATTGCACTGGAAGTCAATTAGAGAGCTTTGCGCCCTTCTTAACTCTCATTAATTAGGTTAATAATTCAACAATATTCCCTCATGCGCCAAGAATTACCTGCAAGTGATAATTGTATTTTCTTCTGTCATTGAATTATGCTGGGAATTTACCTGGAATCTTCCTCTGAGCACAAAGCCTTTTGTTTGAAACTTTCAATCTAAAATGCTCAAATGAAGCTTGAAGCTTCCAGCGATGTTTGGGAGAGCTTTGAGCTCTGAAATCTGAGTAAGCATCAAAAGCCCAACTTCTATTCTTGAGTATTGCGCATCACTTATACCATAAGAAGCAATGTTTTTACAAATTGAGGTTTGTGCAAACATTCAAAATGTATAACTAACAGTATGTAATATCTCTTTATATGTTCAAGTTGTATGCATTGCCCCAAAGAGCATGTAATGTTTTATTAATTTTCAATATGATGATGTGGGGGGTTACAAATCTAGACAACAGATTCACAATAAATGATGCAAATATCTTATAACAATACTTTCAGAAATATATTCAGGATTGGTTAAGAAATGGCCTAGAAATAGCAGTTTGTGTATTCAAATGATAAAGTTTACACTTGAGTGGTTCCTGACATGTGTTTTCTGATCTGCCGTTAGAAAAAAAAATGTGTAGTGCTTGCTTGATGGTTCTGTCTTTCTGACAGGACCACAGTGACGTTAGCCTTTACGTACTTCTACACACTACAGATACGTTTATCAGGCCTGGATTTGTGATAAAGCCATGTTAGCCTTCAAATTAGATCAGTTTACTGGCTAGGCAGTCCATGCCTTCTCTAATCTTTGTACTACCTTTCTTTATTAGATGCTACTAGCATCACCTAGGGGGCACATTACTGAAATCCAGCCCTGATGTTTATGTGCTGCAAGTTTTCAGAACTCGCACAGGAGCTGGGAATGCTAATGCATAAAGTGTTTGTAATTTTTTAAATGCTATGAATTTCCAAATGCAGCAGTGTGTTAAGTTGCTTGCCCTATTAATTGTGCTTGTTTGAAACGCCTTTATATAACAGTTTGGTTTTCATGCATTAAAGTGCATATAAACCCCAAAACAAAAATGTAATGTCTTGCAGCTTACCACTCTTTAAATGTTGTGGCTGCATTAGTTTTATGTTTTCAGTCTTTTTTTTTTCCTTTTTTTATTTTCACCTGGTGATCCGGCCAGTAACACAATTCCTGTCATAGGGTGGCCATGGAGGAGCAACCTAGCCACTGTTTGACAGCAGCATTGTCAATCCATAGAGCAGATTTAGATAAACTTTATCAAGTTAAATCTGAATTTGAAGGAGAAATATGGGGTGAGTAAATGACACTCATCCCCATAGTTAGAGCAGACATGTGACATTGAAACTGTGATCGGGAAGTGAGTGAAAACATACCGCCACTTGCTCACTCCCTGATCATTTCCCTGCAGAGAGCAGTGACTTTCACAGGTTTTCCTCCCTTCTATCCTAATGGATGGCAGAGGGGGGCGGGTATAGCTGGCTCTGTCTCTAGATAGACAGAGCCCGCTGTCAATCAGGCAGCGGGGGGGGATCTCCACAGTATTGTTGTCATCCGTCCCACCTGCGACACACTCAGCATAAAGCAGGCAATAGCTTGCGGTATACTGAGTTTTGGGTCACGGAAGGACGTTGGTATATGTCCTCCTGTGACCCTAAAGAGAACTGGTGAAAAAAGGTTACCCCATAGTTCTCATTTAAGCTAACACTTATTCTCGTACAATCGCGGGATTTCCCACGATTCTCGTACGAGAATCGAGCGGTGTATGGGCACCTTAAGATTTATACAGGCTGATCAGCTACAGCTGATCGCAAACTATGAACTTTGATTGGACACTCTTTGCACACATTCTTAGCAGTCTATGGATTTAACTGGCCATGTGGATAAGCCCTTAATCTCAGTATTTTAATAGTTTTCAATAGTTTGCACCTACCTCCTGAGCGACCAATTTACATTTGCGTGTAATAAAATGAGCATGTAAAAGCTTGTGGTCAAAATCGATCTTGACAACTTTAACTAGTTGAGTAGACATGAATTGTCCAAACACAAATAATTATCATTGTTTCTTTTTTCATTTAGGAGGAACAGAATAGAGGGAAGCCAAACTGGGAGCACCTGAATGAAGACTTGCATGTACTAATAACCGTGGAAGATGCCCAGAACAGAGCAGAGCTTAAGTTAAGAAGAGCGGTGGAAGAAGTGAAAAAGCTACTGGTTCCAGCAGTAAGCACACTATATATCTTAAACTTTATGATACAAAAAGCATTGTTTTTTTTAATTTGAAGTTACTGAAAATGTTACTTGATACAAATGGTATACTTACACTGTGGCTCTTTGTCTTGGCATCTGTATGACAGTTCTTCTGATTTGTTATCTATTACTAAGATGTGTCCCTGAATAAAATTGAGCACTGTGCAAGTAGTACCGGTAATTTATAATATCTATCATTCCCTATTAATTTTCATTGCGTAAATTTGTGATTAATTGGTATTAACAGAATTGAATTTAGTTGTTTTGACTGTGTATCACAGTGAATACAAATCAGACACAATGGGGTTGGTTTACCAAAGGAGTAGAGACTGTTCAAAGTGAATCTTCACTTTGGAAAATGTACTGTATGTTCACTTTGAAGTGAACACATAGTCAACCTGCCTTCACCTTATTTGCTAAGCAGATGTTCACTTTTGTAAGGTAACATTTCTCTTTTGAAAATCAACCCCCGTTTGGGGTTTGATGGATCTTGGAGGAAGGGGGGGTGAGAAGACATGAGGAAAATGTGAAAACCCCTTATAATGTAGTTTTTTGGAGATTTGGTTTACTTTGGGCAATTGTAGAAAAAAGTAGAGGTGGTTTAATTACATCTAGGGAAGTTGCTAGAACCTTGTTGGGTTTTTCCAACCCGAAATGGGGCTTGTGGAGGATATTTCTATCTCCAGACACACCATTCTGTGTGTGGCACTGCTCTCACTCTGTGCTGCAGGAGGTCCCCACCCTAAGGAGGTGGTATGTGTGTGTTTTTTCTTTTTCTTTTGTGTTTTTTTTCCCCTGTAAAAGTTGGTTGTGAATCTGACATTATTTATTTTTTAGAATGTTTTTTATAGAGAACTGTCAATTTATAATGTGTACTAGATTAGAGCCTTCCTTGCGTCCCATGTAATCTGGCCCACATAATTTTGTTCATTCAACATTTATTCTGTTGATACCACTACAAAAAAAGCCAAATGTAATCTTCCTGTTCTACTGAACTGCAAAGGTCATTTTGTGTGTTTTTAGCTACTACACAGAAACTTTCAAGTCAGGTTTTATTGATTGTCCATTCAGTATCTATCTATGTGAGAATGTACTCTCCTGCAGCCTTTTGCAAACTAAAGACCCTTTAAACAGCAGAGTGAAGGATAGTGTAGAAATTCCAATGGGCCTAAAGCATGCCGTTAAAGTAATGCTACATTTTTGAAGCAGCATGTTCAGGCTCACTGGATATATATCAGCTAACCGGAGCTTCAGGTGATATTTTTCCTACAGTGTGGTGTAAAATGTCTCATGGGCCCTAGGCCTATCAACCAATTCTGTGTAATGTTTATGTAAGCGGTTCTGTCTTTTAAAACTGTACACTTGGCGCTATCATTTATCTGGGGTTCTTAAGTTGTTTTTTTTTTTTTTTTTTTTTTTTTTTTCCCCCCCCCCCCCCCAGTTGCAGCTGCTGCTTTTTTTTTTTTTTGTTCAATTATTAATCGGAAGAATAGCCGTATTAAGCATGGGATTTTGTTTCAGCTAGGTTATAATACTATCTGGTGTTTCAGCAGGCTATATTATAGCTACTTTTGTAGACTAAGAATATATGGCTTTATTTTGTTCTGTTAGGGCTTCTTCACACTTCAAGCATTGGGCTGTGTTGGTCAATGCAGTCACAACGTATAAACAAGGCAAAAAGATTTGCTCTCACTTGTCAGTTTATACTGTTGGTGTACGCTGGAAAAAAAAAGACAGGAAACATTTGTTTGCACTAAAAGCATTGTGAGGTGCTGCTGCATGCATTGGCCAAAAGGAAAGTAATGTGTTGCAAATGCATAGTAGTGTATGTACCAACGCACCTCAGCAAACATGAGTGAATGTCAATATTGTAAGCCCTCACAAGCAGGACCCTCCTTATCATCTTGAATTGTATTGTGATTGTAATGTCTTCCTTATATTGTAAAGTGCTGCACAAACTGTTGGCACTATATAAATCCTGTATAATAATAATATGCAATAGCATGCACATGTGGTATGAACTTACCCTTTTGGTTTTTAAGAGTTCACTTTTAAATAAGAACTTGTGTGTTTACATTTAATCATTGTTTTACATTCAGTCAAAACCCCCTGTATCACTGTTTTACACAGACTGAACTAGTGTATAAAGGGATACCATTTGACCCTATTCTCCTTAAGAGGAAGGAATTCCAGAAAGTTGTGTTTGATGGTGGACTTCCAATGGCAATGGCTGTTTTAAATATGGTATGTGTCGGGGTGAAAAGAAGGTCCCCTGAGAGCCTGAGCTTAATACCGTATTTTGCGTTCCATAAGACGCACCGGACCATAGGACGCAGGGAGGTCCGGTGCGCCTTATGGAGCACTCGACAGACCGTAGCTTCTGTCACAGATTCTGTGACAGAAGCTGCAGTTAGTGACCGCTGACACAGGTGGCGCTGTGAGTACAGCGCCACGGTCTCAGTGATCACACAGAGCAGACGAAGAACGTCCGTTCCTCGTCTGCTCTCGATCACCGCCGACGTCGCCGCTGCTCGGTTTTAATGCAAGTGATCTAATCATATCACTTGTATTAAACGAGCAGTGGCTCCTATTGTACATTTAGCTCTGCTTTAGCAGGGCTAAATGTACAAAAAATTACGCGCCCGAAACTGCATGTCTCGGGCGTCGGGATTCGCTCCATAAGACGCAGGCACATTTCCCCCCTCCTTTTGGGGGGAAAAAGTGCATCTTATGGAGCGAAAAATACTGTAAATGGTCACTCTAGCCTTTACAGCCAGAATTACTTCTGTTTCCTGAAATGTTTATCTGTTTACTGTGGTTAAGGTGTTTCCTAATACCAAGTACCTTTTTATGTATTAAAGTAGATCTAAACCTAAGAATGAAAATTAAATATATTTCAGCTAACCAGTCCTTAGATGTGGTGACTGCTTTTGTTTTTTGCTGATTACTTCCCAGTGCTCTCTGCATCTGCTGAATATTATCAGCTACATTGTTCTCTGCTATCTCTGACTTCAGAACTATGCTCCTCTATTTTATGAAGAAGAGAGGGGCAGAGGCCTGGAGTCCTATCTTATTTCTGTTGTCCTAAATCAGTAGGGTGAGTGAGCATTGCCTAGGACTGGAAGTGTGTTACTGGCAGATTTACCAGTGGAAAATTAAGGAATAGCTTGAAAAAAAAAGCAATGCAGCAAACACATCTGGTAAACGGCAATATATTACATTTTTCAGGGTTTAGATACGCTTTAATGCCAAAGTGAATGTAATGTTTGAAGAGTACCTTTCTAAGCATGGCCACATAGACATCAATTTTGTGAGGCTTTTGTTTCAATTTATTTCATATTTTAAAATCATATTTAGAATAATTTTTTGCCAGTGGACAGATTGGGTGCTTTCTTTTTCACTTTGATCCATATTACAGTATTTATTAAAGCTAAAGTTATGACTGTTTATTAAAAATTGTATGTCTTTTTAAAGTGAAAAAAAATGGCATACACTTTACAATCCCTTAAAGGAATTGAACATTCTTAAGCCTGTTGGATGCCTTGGCATGTCCTGAAGGGCTATGCCATAACTTAACATTAGTTTTAGATGCTTCTTAAATTATCAGATTTCATTAACAAGTGCACTTGACCTGGGATTGACCTGTTTAGGCAGGTTTTCCATTCCCGTGGGTTTGTATGGGAATACAAGCTTATGGTACTAGTACTGCTAGAGAGACGTTCTAAAGTTATTGCTGTGAATGTGTTTAACATCTATAGGTTCATTAAAATATTTAGTTCTATGTTTATACTTTAATATATATAAGGCAGGTCATCCTTCTAACATGTATACAGTAGAACGTGGCAGCGTTTTCCAAACTTGCCAGTTATGTCACACTTGCCTCCAAATCTGTTGTCCTCTACTGATGCGGGGTGTGAGCTACCATCTGTGGCTGCCATATTCTTCTACTCTTCTTTTAGGTCCTTTGTTTCCTTGCTGTGTCCCCTGGCCGACCACTGATAACTAGCATTCAGCTCCATTCTCTACATCGTACAGATGTTGGGAATGGATCTGACCAGTTTTGAAGGAAAATAATCTTTTGTCATAGCTGGTTAATTTTGAAACACATAGCATTATAACCAACTTTGTCTTAAGAAAATCTGACATGGAAACAAAATGAGAATATTACACAAGACACATTCATATAATTAAAACCTATAACACAGCATACAAAGGAACAAACTAACAGCCCCAATGTATCGGCAGGTAATATAAATTCCTGTGCGTCTACATTCGGATGGATCTGTGTGTAACGCTGATGCTGCAACCCTAATATAACTGCTCAGTATTGTACTAAAGCTGTGTTAAGGGTAAGCAGCTAAATGCATTAGACTAAAAATAACAGAAATAATGTGCCTGTGTATGAAAAAATAACCTCCCAGTTTCAGAAACTTGGCCACCTTATGGGAGAGCACACTCGTATTTATTCTTTTATGTGTGTAATTATTTTTTGTGTTTTTAAAATTAATGGTTTTAATTATTCTATTACAATATGTATGCCTTGTTCGTATACCTATCCTTTGTTTCCATGGCAGGTTTTGTCTATTAATCGATTATTGAAAAAGTTGACAACTTTTTCAATCGATTATGTCGATTAGTTGTTGCAGCCCTAATTGTGAGAATGTAAGGAAATGGATGGCTGTGTCATTTTGTGTCATAATGTTGATCAGCTAGGTCTGTTTCAAAGCCTAAAATGCATCAGACTTTTCAGTCTTTTTACCAATGTGTCCAATAAATGTATTAAAAGAGATGGATAGGTTTCTTAAAGTAGAACTGCATCTTGGAATTTTAAGCAAAAATTGCCCCGGTCAAATACAGTATAGTCTTTATCCTACTCCCAAGTTTTCAAGTGGTGAGGGTCCTCTCCGCACACCTTACAGCAGTCCTGGCCAAATAAGAACGGTGGTGCTCGCAATGACTATCACGGATGGCAC